CCCTCCTCCCTGTACCAAGGCTGTCCCAGCATAGGCCCTAGGTTCCAAAAAGCCAGCTCATGCACCAAGGACAGGTTGGGGTCCCACTGCCTGGGGGCCTCCTAAACAGTTTAAGCTGTTCAACTGTCTCACTTATCTAGAGGGCCTGGTCCAGATCCATGGGGCTCCTCAGCTATTGGTTCACAGTTCATGTGTTTCCTCTAGTTCGGCTATTTGTCCCTGTGCTTTTTCCAATCATGGTCTCGATATCTCTTGCTCATATAATCCCTCCTCTCTCTCACCAATTGGACTCTCTGCATCTGCTTCCATCAGTCACTGGATGAGGGTTCTATCATGACAGTTAGGGTGTTCGGCCATCCGATCACCAGAGTAGGTCAGCTCAGGCACTCTCTCAACCATTGCCAGTAGTCTATAGTGGAGGTATCTTTTGTGGATTTCTGGGAACCTCTCTAGCGATAAATGAAACTTTTTGAAAAGAGTCTCACTTTGTAACCCAGGCTGCTCAGGAACATGAAATAATCCTCCCCACCTGCCTCCTGAGTTCTGGGATTGCAGGCATACACCACCATGTGCAGCACAAATGGAAAATTGAGCCCTAGTCTTGAAATGGTGGCTCAGCTGGGTCTAGATGCCCCCATTTCAAGGCTACTTGTGCTTCTGTGTCTATATTCACATTCACAATTTGACTGCAGTTCCAGAAAGGATACCATTCTATCTCAAGCTATATTTTATTTATTATTTATTTACTTATTTATTTGTTTGTTTGTTCGTTCATTTATTTGTTTGTTTGTTTTTGGTTTTTCGAGACAGGGTTTCCCTGTGTAGCTTTGTGCCTTTCCTGGAACTCACTTGGTAGCCCAGGCTGGCCTGGAACTCACAGAGACCCACCTGGCTCTGCCTCCTGAGTGCTGGGATTAAAGGTGGGCGCCACCACCGCCCGGCTATATTTTATTTTTAAATACTAAATGTTAGACAGCAAAGCTTAGGGTAGAGAGAAATCACTTCTTATTGTTCCCTTTCCTCTCAATTTAGGGATTCAAGTGGAACTGTAGAGTTAATAGCAAGCTAGGCATAATGGTGCACACTTGTAATCCCAGTATTTGGGAACCTGAGGCAGGAGAATCGTAAGTTTGAGGTCAAACTGTGCTATGTAGCAAGGCCCTGCCTCAAAAAGAAATACATTAGTAACACCTTTGAATTGCTTATTGTAGCCCGGCCTTTGTATTGAGGGCTAACATCTAATTATCTACTCTCCACACCAGGCCTGCATGGGGATTCCTTGGTAAGCACTATCTGTATAGAGGAACCAACAAGCATGAAGAGAGAGTGGCTAGTGTCCCAGTCACAGCCACTCTGACATTGCGTGCTAGAAGGGCATTACAGACACCGCACACATTTCCTTTCTTCTGAAAGCTTCCTAGTGTGGCATCCTGGGCCTGAAATGAAAGCCGGATCACTGGGGTGAATGTGGAGTGAGACTTTGCATGGTCGTGTTGCAATCCTCTCACATGTGGCTTTGGGCTCTGAGCCAGGCAGCTGAGCTGGATGCTCCCACCCATTTCCCCACATCACCCAGGAGATGTGAGCGCACAGCTGTTCATATCTCCCTTTCCAGAAGGAGCAGACACACTTGTCAAATATTGATGGAGGGTCCTGTCTTTCTCTTGTGGCATAGCATAGAGTAAATACTATTTGTTACTGACTATTTATAGAATAGTAAATACTACTTGTATTTACTATGATACAGGGCAGGACCATTAGCTCATTTGAGTCCCCAACGTTAATTTTACCCGTTTTATGGAGCGTCTGTGAGGTTTTCAGCAGTTCGTGCTTCCCAGAGAAGACGGAAGTCCTGGGTTTAGTTCCAGGGCTACACTGTGAGCCACAATAGCCTACAGCTTTTCCCAGCATGTGATATTGAATGAAATTCAAGATGCTGGAAACAGACTTCAAGATTCTGGGGTTCATTTCTCTTGAACCCCACCAAAGGCTCTGTTCATCTGATTCTCTTCTCTTCCAGTTCCCTATCTACTCCTTGTCTCCTTAGCCTGGTAGCCAGAGTAGGGCTCTGTGTCCACCCTGTGTGCATGTATGGGGGGTTGTTCTTTGATTAAACCCCATCCCAGAGTCACTTGGGGGAGGAAACTAGTTCTTTTGTTTGCTTTCTTTTCTTTTCTTTCTTTCTTTCTTTTTTTTTTTTTTAAGACAGGGTTTCTCTCTGTAACCTTGGCTATCCTGGAACTCAATCTGTAGACCAGGCTGGCCTTGAACTCAAAGATCTGCCTGCCTCTTGCCTCCCAAGCGCTGGGATTAAAGATATCACGGCCTGGTAGGATATTAGTTTTTTAAAATCATCTTTTTATCTATTCTTTGAAATTTTTTGTACAATGCATTTTGAATATGTCCATCCACCACTACCTCCCTCCATCACCCCCTAGTGCCTCCACCCCATCTCCCTCCCAGCTTTAGTCTTCCTTTTCTTCTTTTCTGTTGATTACTAATAACCTTCTGAGTCCAATTACTGTTGCCCATATGTGCTTGGGAGTGGGTCCATCTACCGGGGACCATGGGCAGCCTACCAGAGGCCATGTCCCCAAGGGAATATGACTGTCTTGGGAGGACACGATTATATGCTGTTTTTCTGTGACTTAAAACCCTGACCCCTGGAAAACTTCATGATGGAGAGTTGTAATAAATAAGAAAGTAACTTGGATAAAGGGTCTTCTGCTCCCTTTATCCTAAGGGTCCTAAGTTCTGTTCCCAGCTCTGCCACAAATTTCTCTTAAGGCCCTGTCCTGCTCACTCTCATTTCTCTTTCCATCATTCAAGAATGAAAGGGTCCTTCCAAGGAACAAGACCAAGGGGAAAGAGAAGACAGAAATCATTTGCCTATAGGAGGAAAAAGATTGGATTCCCATGAAGTTAAATGAAGTAATGCATGTAGAAGCCTGGCATGTGGTAGGTCCTTGGAAACTGTGTGAGACATCAGGGAGATGGCTTGTGCCAGAGGACCTGCAGACTCTCACGAAGTTGGCTGCTGACCAAGCCAGGCCATCCACACAGGACTTTCCTGACTGTGCCTTCAGGGTACAGTTTATGACATGTCACAGCTCCTCGGAAAGTGACCTAACTTGGATTTTTCTCCATAAACACAAAATTGCAAGTAATTCTCATTTGCATGGTGATGAGGAGTTTATTTTTCCCAGAAGCTGTGTGTCAAACTCAGAAAAACAGGGCATTTCTTAATAATGATTAATCAGCTGTATCACAAAGAAAAAGAAAGAAAAGAAAACAATTAAAGAAATGAGGGGGGAAAATCTCCTGAAGGTGGACCCACCCAGTAAACCTTGACAGCATTTCCTCTAATCCACAGCATAAAAGTAAGCAGCCCTTTCCAAATGGCAAAGAGCACGGAGAGGGTCGGCTCCATTGCGGCAGGAGGCTCCAGAAGAGGTGAGTCTCTCATGGGCCATCAGGAGCTTCATTTAATATGACGGGGGTTAGTGTTGTGCATGACCTGTGTTGTCCAGGGTGCTGAGGTTTTTTGTGGAATGTGGAGAAGTACTCCAGTGTGTGTGTGTGTGTGTGTGTGTGTGTGTGTGTGTGTGTGAATTTTCTGGTACCTTCTTTTTAACAAAAGGAAATGGAAAAAAGAAAGGATAAAGGACAGAATAGAGCATATCTTTATTACACCTTTTTCATTCCAGGAACTTCACTTTTTGCAGTGTTAATTATCTTTTTAAATGCAAAGCACAGTCCTGATTCAGTGGGACCTGATCAGAAATGTTTTTTTGGTCTGGTGTGAAGCTGTGGTCTCCAGGAGAGATGGATATGCATGCAGGGGAGAGACTGATTTGTAAGTGGGAGGCTTAGCCATAAAGAGTGAGCACAGAGGTCAGCTGCCCACTTCGGCTCTGGCAACCTATTTCATTTTCTTAATTCTTAGTTCCCTCCTTGGCAAAATGTGGATAGAAACAAACCTTCTTAGGGGTGGGTGTCACAGGAAGTAAGGTAATTATGCAAAATATTTCATACACTGTCCACCACACCTGCTGTGTAGGACAAGTGTTGACTCCCTGCTGTTACCTGAATTGGCCAAGATGTCTGGACTCTTTTTTTAGAAGGAGCAGAGTTAGGAGAGGGGTGATGCCGACCAACTTCCCTTGCCAATGGAGTCTAGTTCCTTGTTTGGCTGGAGAATTAGAAAATCAAGCTCTGTAGGGAGTACTCTCTGTCATCCGGGGGTCTCAGTATACACCTGCTGGTGTTCTGGGAAGGATGCATGTTAACAGAAGGCTTGGGCATGCTGTTTCTTGGCTTTCTAGGCAAGGAGCCTAGAAATGAATTCCTAGGGATCCCAGGAAGATGTGGTCTGTGGTGATGGGAAGTGGGGCAGTGTGGCTCCCATTCATATAGAGCCCATTCATGATTACAGCCCCAAGAACCATAGTGAGGGTCTAGAAGCAAGTGCACTAGGACTCCCCAGCTGCTGGTTGTGTTTGGGGCACTCCTACTCATTGGCCTCTGCACACACAGCAGGAAAGGGGGGCCCTCAGTGGTAAGGCTCACACTAGGTCGGGGACAGAAGGTAGAGGGCAGGGCAGATCACATGCCATTGTAAGGTTTATCTCTTTGTGTAGCTTGTGCTACTTTGGAGGGTGCCGAAGACAGATCCTAGGCTGCACAGAGATGTGTGATGTGCCTCTGTACACACTTAGCTCCAAACACGATTTTAGGCAGATATGCACTAGGGTTTTCATAAAAGGTGCCGCTTCCTTCGGAAGCAAACATGGAAAAGCCAATGGGCTTTTATGGTTTTTCAGAGCTGTTGCCCAATCTGTTCCCCTTATTCGGTTTATTAGAAACAAGATTTTTCACCCCAGTTGATGAAGGGCTGAGTCAGAGTACAGTGTGATACACACTGCGGTGGGAGCCTGCCGAGGGTGTGTGTGTGGGGGGGGAGGTGGTGGTCATAGTCAATTATTCAAGGAAACCACAAGAGGAGATGCCAGCCTTTGAAGCTCCCCAAGGCCGAGGGCTGAGTCTTCTTTTTGCTCTGCCACGAGGTCCCCAGGAGGAGCATGTGGGGTTTTGATTTTCTCTGCTCTGTAGTCTAGGTGGACAACAGATTTCTATCCTTGCAGCAGGACATGAAGGCCCAGTGCATTTCTTGCTGGCTCCTGGGCATGGCACTTATGCTCTGCTCCGTGCACACCCGCAGCCTCAGGAGATGTCTGATTTCTGTGGACATGCGCCTTATAGAAAAGAGTTTCCAGGAAATCAAAAGAGCCCTGGTGAGCATGGGTTGTCTGAAGGAATGGGTATGCCTTATCTTACACCTTGACCTGAAAGGCCAAGTTCCTTCCTGTTGCTTGTGAGGTATCCTGAGAAAGTGGAGAGTTCTCATTGATGTCTGTCCTGTTCTCCACAGCAAACTAAAGACACCTTCCAAAACGTCACCATCCTGTCCACACTGGAGAATCTGAGGAGCATTAAGGTACCAGTTGGCTTGTGTCCTACTTCTTAACGGTTTTGTGCTAAGAAACAAATCCCTGCCCAGTATGCTCTTAATGCTCCAGGCTTGTCTGAGCAGTTTGGGCCGGTACCCCAGTGACTTTGAACTCACGGGCGTGGCCGAAGAAGTAAGACTTCCCCAGAGGGTGACAGAAGTATCAGGGCCTCCGATGGGACAGGAATTCAGTGGCTTGGAGATTGTTTTTGGAAGATTCCAGAGGGAGAAAGGAAAATCAACGCACAATCAAACACCAAAACCGGAGTGAAGGTTTAAGACACAGGGGAGCATGGGTGTAACGCCATCGAAGGCAAGCCTGTGTGATCGGGACAGTGAGGCAAGCGGGTTTAGGATGCAAAGGATGTGCAAAATAGGGTAGGAGGCGGAGAGGGACAGCTACCTTTGGGACCAGGCTGAGCCTTGGCTTTCTGACGAGGACAACAGAAAGGCCGAGGAGACTTTTGGGATAAAAGTTTTATCACAGAGCTAGTGTAGAAAGTCTGGGGGTGTGCTTTCCAGCGACAAGAGGGTGGGAAGGCCAGGAGGGATGCCGGGCCCGTTCTCCACCAAGGGTGTTACCAGCCAGCAGCTGGCCGGCTGATTCCTGGCTTTACGAAAGAACCTGTGAGGTGCATTTAGAGTGATCGCTTAGCCAGGCGTGGGGGGACATGCTTGTACTCCCAGCGCTTGGGAGACAGAGGCAGGAGGATCGTTACACGTTTGATCGTTACACGCCAGTCTGTTCAACTTTGTGAGTTCCAGGCCAGCCAGGGCTATGTTGATGCATAAGCCCAACTTTCAGTTCAAAGGGAATAAGTGATGGTTGGTTCTATAGTCAAATATGAGCGACTACAGCCTGGAATCTAGATTATTTGCGTTTTGAGGGTGGAACTCAAGTTCTCGGCCTTAGTCACAAGTTCGTAGTCGACTGCTGAACCAAACTACCTTCCCTCCCTC